AATAATTTTTGTATAACCAATCTACGAGGAATGCCACCGGAAAGGGAGGCAGCTCTAAGAGGAAGTCATGTCGCGGGGCGGCAGGTGGGCTCACGCCTTGTAATTTCCCCGCACTTTGGGGAGGCGGAGGCGGAGCGGTATTCCCAAGGTTCAGAACATTCCAAGACATTCCTGGCCAACATGGTGCAACCCATTTTACTCATAGGAAAATGTGGGTGTGCGCGCCTGTAGTCAGCGTACGGTGGACTGAGGCAGGAGATTTGCTGTGACCAGACGAGTCTAAATAAGCAACTGATCTGAGGCTTTTTGAAACCAAACAGTTTGGTGCCTTGAAAGCATAAGCCATTGGTTATGTGAGAAAAACAAGAAACTGTATCTTTGCATATATTGGGGCACAAATCCCGTTTGAATGAATGAACATTTCCTGGTGAAAACATGGGGTTGGAACCCTTCTGTGTCTGTGGGAGAATAGGAATCTGTTGATGGATATGGCTCTTTGGCTTAAAGTGAAAAATCATGAACTGGTGGTCAAGAAGTCTAGGCATAGTCCACGCTTTTAACCCTCTGGGACCTGTGTATCTGTAAACTGAGGTGTCGCTCTGTTCTGGAACGGTCCCTGAGGGGCCCTTTCCGGTCCTGCTACACCTCTGAGTTGTGATTGGAGACTCGCTGGCCCTGTCATTGAGGAAGACACCTCGAGGCATCACTTCCTCAATGAGATTCGAGGCTCGCTGGACCTGAACCGCCCACCGCTTCCCATCATTGTGTCTGGCTGTCTTGTGTCTCCCTCCTGAGCCACCCCTTGCTGCTGCAGTGTAAAGAGGCCTCTTGATTTATTAATCAATTAATCAGTGCACACTGAGGAGCTGTTCAGGGTAGTTAAACAGGGAAAACAAAAAGCTGGAGCCTGTAATCAAGATGGATCATAATTAAGAACCACCCCCCAACTGCTGCTCTTCCTGCCCCGCTCACTGCCTCACAGCTCCCTCCCCGCCTACAGCTCATCAAACCGCCTTCAGCTCTGATGGGGCTTCTACCCCATACAAGCCGACAGTGAATTTCAGAAGGGCCCATTTTCTCCCTAATGTCCTAGAGGGAAATAAGCCCTTAGATGAGCTTTATCCATTACCTGCAACGACCGTTGAGCCCCCAAAATGGCATCGTAGCCCTGTTCATGTATGCACAGACCATACTCTCCTCTCCCCATTCCCCATGAATGGAGTCATGGAGCTGGAAGGTCCTTCCCATCAGGAAAGGCCATGGCCCTGTGTGACAGACGAGAGGTTCAGTGAGGCTAAGTGAGTTGTCTGAGGTCACTACAGAACTGCAACGTTGGGCCGGGCACGCTGGCTCATGCCTGTAATCCCAGCACTTTGGGAGGCCGAGGCAGGTGGATCACGAGGTCAGGAGATCAAGACCATCCTGGCTAAGACGGTGAAACCCCGTCTCTACTAAAAAAAAATACAAAAAACTAGCCAGGCGTGGTGGCGGGCACCTGTAGTCCCAGCTACTCGGGAGGCTGAGGCAGGAGAATGGCGTGAACCCGGGAGGCGGAGCTTGCAGTGAACTGAGATCCGGCCACTGCACTCCAGCCTGGGTGACAGAGCGAGACTCCGTCTCAAAAAAAAAAAAAAAAAAAAAAAAAGAACTCCAATGTCACAAGTGGCAGAACTGGAAACCATCTGATACTCAACGAACACTCCTCATGCTCGTTTCTCTGTGTAATCCTTAAGCCAAGTAAATAAGCCACATTGTTCTCATTAAATCCATTTTCTGATTTCTTTTTCATAGGGGTCTCTGAGCTAGATTTTTATTTTATATATAAACATTTTATAAACATATATTACATATATAATAATAATATATAGTATTTTATAAGGTTTTCTATGTTGCTCAGGCCGGTCTCAAACTTCTGGCCCCAAGGGATCCTTCAGCTTCAGCCTCCCAAGTAGCTGGGATTATGGGTGCCAGCCACCGCACCTGGCAAGATTAGTTGTTTTAGAGACATGTCTCGCTCGGTCGCTCAGGCTGGAGTGCAGTGACGCTGTCCTAGCTCACCGCAGCCTCAGACTTCTGGGCTCAGGCAATTCTCCCACGTCAGGCTCCCGAGTGGCTGAGGCTACAGGTGTGTGCCACAGTGCCTGGCTAATTTTTAAATATTTTATAAAGATGGGGTCTTACTATGTTGCCCAGGCAGGTCTTTGAACTCCTGGCGTCAAGTAGTCCTCCCACCTCAGCCTCCCAAGGTGCTTGGATTACAGGCCTGAACCACTGTGCCCAGCTGATATTTTGTAATAGTAGTTTTAGATGAAGTTTGAAGGGAAAGCCTATCTTGGACTGTTTTGCTTTGGTGGGTTAGAATATCAGATACCTGGATAGAGACTCGGCCAGCTTCCCTAGGGCAAATAGTAAACATGAGTTAATCTACACAGGTTTGCTCGGCTGCTGGTACAGGCTGGATCTCTGGGCCAGAATCTGTTTGGTTTGCTTCTGTTCCAGTGGTACTTAGCACACAATGCTGATAAGGCCAAGATTTTCTTAGAACACAATCTCTGTTCGAGGTTGCAAGTTGCACCTGCATCTGCTACTAACTTTCTGTGGTAACAGGAGGCCAAGGGGCCTCAGTGCAGTGGTCCAGATTGCACTCACCCCGCGTCATGCCTGGACAAACGTTTGTTCCTTCTAACTGAACACCTTGGGAGAGCCCAGGGATGGCTATCATTCTTCAGTGGACATAAGAATAAGAATGTTCTTGCCAAGCGTCGTGGCTCACGCCTGTAATCCCAGCACTTTGGGAGGCTGAGGCGGGCGGATCACGAGGTCAGGAGATCGAGACCATCCTGGCTAACACGGTGAAACCCTGTCTCTACTAAAAGTACAAAAAATTAGCTGGGCGTGGTGGTGAGTGCCTGTAGTCCCAGCTACTCCGGAGGCTGATTAAACCCAGAGGCAGAGGTTGCAGTGAGTCGAGATCGTGCCATTGCACTCCAGCCTGGGAGACAGGGCGAGACTCTGTCTCAAAACAAACAAACAAACAAACAAACAAACAAATGTACTTGTTTGATTGGCCTGGCGAAGAAGATACTTAGAAGTCTTTTTTTTTTTAACTTCTTTTTAAAAGTTTTCACTATAAAATTCTTACATTTGTAAAATGTGTTTATCAAAAATGGAGGCTTTTCTGCCAATGTAGCTTCTCATTTCTGTTGAATGCCAATCAAACTATCAAACTCTTGAGCAGCCTTGGAGTTATAGAACCTCCCTTTCCTCTGCTTCTGTGTTCTCTAGGACCCTGCTTTCTCGGCTGTGATTCACGACAAACTCCAGGTCCCCAACACCATCCGGAAGGCATGGAATGACCGGGACAACCGCTGTGACATTTGTGCCACTCACCTGAACCAGCTGAAGCAGGAGGCCATCCAGATGGTGCTGGCCTTGGAGCAGGCAGCTGGCAGTGAGCACTACGACGCCTCGCCCGGCTCCCCGCCACCGCTCTCCAACATCCCCACCCTGGTGGGGTCCCGGCACGTGGGTGGGCTCCAGCAGCCCAGGGACTGGGCCTTTGTGCCTGCCCCCTATGCCACCTCCAACTACACAGGCTTCGTCAACAAGCACAGCAGCAAACCCAGCAGCCTTGGGGTCAGCAATGGGGCGGAAAAGAAGAGTGGATCCCCAACCCACCAGGCCAAGGTCAGCCTCCAGATGGCCACCAGTCCAAGCAATGGGAACATCCTCAATTCGGTGGCCATCCAGGCTCACCAGTACCTGGACGGCACCTGGTCCCTGTCGAGAACCAACGGGGTCACCCTGTACCCATACCAGGTAAGTAGCCTGGGTGAGCGAGCCAAAGCAGAGAAGTGGGCAGCGCTTCCTTCCTCTGCCTCCTCCTGGGAACTCAAAGCCTAGTGTTTCCAGTGGCCCCACAGAGTTCTCACCAAGGTGCCCCACCCAGACCTGCCTGCTTTGAGAGGGTGCTGCTGTGTCCTCCAAACCTTCCACACCTCCCCTTTCTCCACTCTTCAGTGTCTCCTTCCTGAGAGACCCTGCTGGTCCAGACGATGCCAGCAGCTTCCCAGCCAGCAGGTTTACCACATGGCTTAGCCATGAAGAGGCAGGCCACAGAGATCCTTGGACTGGGGTCCAAGCCCCGACTTGGCCACTTATTAGCAGTGTGACTTGTCACAAGGAGTTTGCCCTGTCTTAGGCTCAAGTCCCTCATTTATAAATGGATGTGAGTCATGAAAATTAAATAAGACAGTGTTTGCAATGACATGTAGGCCAATATCTGCCATATAGTAGGGGATCATTGTTGTGCCTGTTAACAGAGATTTTAGATGTTAAGACAGATGAGTGAGAGGCTTTTGAACGAAAGGATATTGTGAGTCCCAGGAATCATGGTTTTAAAGCAACCTGTGGAAGTGTTGGACATTGCTAAGAATAAAATATACGAAGGAACAGTGATCCGTGTTGGCACTCTGCTTCCTTTGTCTGTACCTTCCAAAAGAGGTGTAGACGCCCTTTGTAACCTCTCCTCACTTGACAGACCCAAACTCTTTTCTATTTGCAACTCACCTTGAGAACTATTGGTACTGGGCTGCCAAAAGTGCTTTTTCCTTTTCAGTTATTTGAATTAGCACATGCCCCCAAGTTTCCCCATAGAAATAAAAAACAGGTCTTAAATCTCCCAGGGAATCTTTAAAGATGATCTGACTTTGCCTGGGTGAGTTTCTGTTGGATGAGGACTGGATTTTTACTGTAAGTGGCCTCTCTATCCCCTGCATCAGTGGTGTGGGAAGCAGCAGAGAGCACTGAGCGTCACTGGAATGGAGAGGCGGCCACGGGCAAGGATGTATTAGTCAGAGAAGATAGTTGGTATATAGAGCAAATGATCCTAGAGACCTCAGGTTCTTTCTCACTTAGGTCTGGATATAGGGGGTGTTTGGTGGGTGGCCTTCCACTGCGACGTGAGCACTCAGATTTCTTCTACCAAATGTGTCACCATCTTCCAGGGGCCTCAAGAGCCCTTCACCAGACCTTCTGTAACCAGCCGGGAAATGAGGGGAGAGAGCGTGTGTGGAGGATCTCACAGGAGGATTTGGGGCCCGGCTTTGCCTGAAAGGGATGTACATTGCTTACATCTTTATTCTGGGTGGATCATGAGGTCAGGAGATCGAGACCATCCTGGTTAACACAATGAAATCCCATCTCTACTAAAAATACAAAAAATTAGCCGGGCGTGGTGGCGGCGCCTGCAGTCCCAGCTACTCGGGAGGCTGAGGCAGAGGAATGGTGTGAACCCAGGAGGCGGAGCTTGCAGTGAGCTGAGATCGCGCCACTGCACTCCAGCCTGGGCGACAGAGCACGACTCTGTCTCAAAAAAAAAAAAAAAGAATTCAGTCTCTGCCGGGCGTGGTGGCTCACACTTGTAATCCCAGCACTTTGGGAGGCTGAGGTGGGTGGATTGCTTGAGCCCAGGAGTTGAAGACCAGCCTGGGCATCATAGAGAAAACCGGTCTCTATTAAAAATACAAAAATTAGCCAAGTATGGTGGCATGCGCCTGTAGTCTCAGCTACTTGGGAGGCTGAGATGGGAGAATTGCTTGAGCCCGGGAGGCAGAAGCTGCAGTGAGCTGAGATCGCACCACTGCACTCCAGCCTGGGTGACAGAGCAAGACTCTGAATCAGGAAAAAAGAAGCGTGAGAGAGAGAGAGAGAAACAGACAGACAGACAATTTAGTCTCTTGACCCCACCTTCCCACTGGGGAAGCTGGGGAAGCCTGTCTACCCATGAGACCAGGAGAAAAAGGAACAAGTTGAGTGAACACATAGCATAGTTTTGTTATGCTGGACAAGGTATAGGGAAACATGAAGTGAGTTAAATGTGGTTGATAAAATTCCTGGTGACTTTTTCTAGAGTGTTTGAGAGTGTTCGTGTCTCTTGCTATCTTGAAAGAAAGTGGGAAACATTGATCATTATCCTAAGACATTAGCATTCTTGGATTGTCGAACTTTTCACTTAACTGGGTGCTTTCTAATTTACAAAATCTAACATACACATGATTTCATTGAACCCCACAGTAGGCCTATGAGGTAGGTGGGGCAGGTGTTAGATCTTCCTTTTACAGATAAGGAATATGCTGCTTAGCAAAATGGCCGCACAGGCCACGGCAGAACCAGCACCGGCTCTCCCCGTGCCCAGGGAATGGCTTTGCCTACCACGGGTTCTTCCAACTTTCCTAGGCTACCCCAAAGTAAGCTGTCAACATCTTTTCCAGATATGGTTCCTTTTCAGACCTGTGTCACAAAGAAAAGAACTCATTTTACCTGCAGGGGCCTCACTGCCCCTAGACTTTTGGATAGAATTTTCTGGGATGTGTATGTAAATATAATGAGGAACCAGTGGCGTCCTGCGGGGTGCTTCACGGTCTAATCTTGGAAGTAACCATCTAGGGCAGGAACAGAGAAGGGCTTCTTTGCATCATGGGATGATTTGCTTTTTTTTTGTTTGCAGTTTTAAAATATACCATTTACAAAATTATAAAAAGTAACATGTTTGTTGTAAAACAAAATTTAAAATGCATGAGAAAGTTTAAATAAGACTTTAGAAGTTGATGTCACCCAGATACAAACTATGTAACATTTGGGGATACCTCCTTCTAGCATTTCATACACTTCCAATTTGTAAAATTGTGACCAGGTTCAATTCTGTGACCTGCGTTTCACTGAATCCATTGGGTCCATTTCCCCATGCCGTTACATGTTTCCCTAAAATATTATCTTTAGCAGTAGCGTATTTCATTATATGAATATTATCCACACTATGGAGATGTCCTAATTTATTAGGTTGGTGCAAAAGTCATTGCAGTTTCTGTCATTACTTTCAACAGCAAAAACCGCAATGACTTTTGCACCAACCTAATACATAACCAAACATCAATTAATTAGAATTTAGGTCTTTGCTACTGTAAATAAAATGCTCAGATGAACATCCTTTTACCCAGGCCATAGTTTCCACACATCCCTGGGTTGTGTGAGCCACATGCTCATGTTACACAGACAACTCACATTTCACCTTCCAGGACCCCGAAGCTCTGTATCACACGCACATTGGCTGTGCGGCCATTTCGCTAAGCATCAGGGGCCGGTTAGAAGACTCAGTGACTGCGCCAGGGCTGATGATCGAGGACAGATGAGCATGAAACTGGTGCTTCCTATAAAATATTCAAAGTGAGGTGAAAGTTTGTGTGTAAGGTGGAAACACTGAAGATGCTGCTTCAATGGCTGGTTAGGGATTATTTGTGCGTTTCTTTTATTTGTGCAATGATTCTTTCCCTCCTCTTTCTTCCCAAACTCAGATGAAAGAGAATTTGCTGTACAAGTATTTATTCATCTCTAACCAAGTACCAGGCACTGTGCTAGGTGGTGGGTGGGGCTGCAACCGTGGGCTGGAAACCCTGATTCCTGTCCTAAGGTCCTCACCGTGGGACAGAAGGCAGGTGAGTGCAGAGGTGAAGAGATGCCCATGCAGACAGGCTCCTAATCCTGCCCAATGTGGCAAAACCAGATACAACCAAGATTCACACGAGCCACCAGCTTGTGGTCGTCCTGGGTACGTTATGTTGCTTCTTTCCAACTCGAGAACAGACCAATTCACGCATTTCCCCTGAGTAATAAAGGGACCAGAGGAAATCTCTCTGGGATCAAGAGATTTGGTGCCTGGCTATGAATCCGCGTCCCCTGTGTTGTGACTGTGTCGTCCTGACGCCCCGGGGTGGGGGCTCTGGGTCTGGCCAGACTGAGTGTCTCCTGTTGCGGACATCTCCCTGCAGTAAATATTGTGCAGTTCGCAGTCTAGCCAGCTCGTCAGAGATGGTTGACTGCTCTGAAAGCTGACCTCATTTTTCCTGCTCACCCGTACTCCCACTTTCCTCCCCACAAAGCAGATGGCCTCTGGATCAGTGCCAGAGCCGTTCCCTGGGCAGAGAAGCATCTAGACCTTGTCACTACCACAGGCGCAACTCCACACCCGCAGAACCCGAGCCTCTAGAAAATGACTCTTCCCTCCTGCAATTTAGATGTAGCAAGGATGCGGACAGGCCTTCCAGCAGTAAGCCTGGTGGAACCCGCGTCACGCGGGTGATAGAATGGTCCCGCGAATCCCTCAATCCCTGTGACCCACACCACTGTGTCATAATCTCCAAAGGCTGTGGTAGGAAGATTCTCGATTCTCTTTTGATATATCCTTCACATTTCTAAAGTACCTCCAGAAAGACCAGGAACCTGTAAGCATCACAGATAAATAGGAATCGATCCAGAGAGATTTTAAAAAGAGTCATTTGGGAAGTACTGAGATGACATCAAAAACGTTGAACAAACCACAAAGATAAATCTTATTAAATACCTTAGAAATTTGATTTAATAGAAGATTATAAGATGGGCTTTCAAAGAAAGACTTTCTTCTGTTCATCTGCAGACATCTAGCATAATCTATACACACAGAGAAAGCAGAAAATTCTCTAGCACAGGGGTCCGCAGACCCCAGGCCACAGATTGATATGACTCTGTGGCCTGTTAAGGAGCCAGCCGCAGGGCAGGAGGTGAGTGGCGGATGGGTGGGCATTACCTCCTGAGCTCCATCCCCTGTCAGAGCAGCAGTGCCTCAGGTTCTCCTAGGAGCGGAAGCCCTATTGTGAACTGTGCACGTGAGGGATCTAGGGTGCACACTCGTTACGAGAATCTAATGCCTGATGATCTGAGGCGGAGCAGTTTTATCCCATTTCCGCCCCCTATTTGTCTTCCATGAATCCGGTCCCAGGTGTTGA